GACACAAGAAGTGAATCGAGAAAAGAGCTTCTGACACACTTGAGACTTGAATGCCTGGTGCAGTTGTGATAGGTCTTTTCCATACTTATTTGATTCTAATCCAAACAGTCACAACAGTCGAGGGGTAGACTGAAGAGTGAAGAGTGAGATGTGTGCAGCTCGGTCAGATTTGGTCTATAGGCGGTAAAGTCAGAGTGAGTTAATTCCCAACTACTAGTACTTGCATCACCATTACTTGCACTTCTCCATCTATGGCTGGCCTATTTAACCCGGGTCTGGATGCACCTCTTAGGCTCAATCCACACACTCTTGAATCCACACACTTGTGAGCCAATCATCTTTCTTCATCGCCTAGAGGTGCTAGTGCATGTTTTGCGAGGTGCTCCTTCTCCATCCTTAGTGAGGTGCTGCCGTTGAATAGGAGCTTGACCTAGATGATTGCAGATCTTCTTGCAGATCTTGTGTTAATAGAAGAACTGTAATCATATGGTTTTCTTCTATTCAGGGGCTCCATACTCGATTGGGGGTGCTTCAAGTTTGCGAGGTGCTCGTTCTTGAAGATTGGGTGCTTAGAGCATCTCCAAGAGTTTCTAATAATTAGTCAATTAGTTGTGTTATTAGTCCATATCTATTTGTATCAATGGCTCCTTTGATTTGCATTAGACTGAGACAACACTTGCTCATCGCTACAAGGTTCTTGCAAGTTCAACAAAGATATTTCGTAATTAATCTAATGATATTTATTTGATATCATAAACAATGAAAATACATTTGCAAGAGTCAAGAGAGATCTTTCATAATTAATCTAATAATATTCAACAAGAACCATCATCGCATATACACATGGACAACAAAAAAGTTCATGTCATCCCTGCCCTTGCTATTCGGTAAAGTCTGGCCCGTGTTGTTTCTTAGTGGTCAGATAATCCTACACGCCGACCTAGATTTAAAAATAGGGCCCAAACTTAAAATTGTAAACGACACAGTAACAAGCATCACAGGAAAACGAGGAAAAACGAGAGTTGCTCGTATGAACTTGTCACTGCCATGGTTCTTGCAAGTTTAACAAATTTAATCTAATACATGCAAATAAGAGAAGAGAAGTGACATCCCACTACTCAATGTCATCCAACTACTACTAAGATAGGCAGGTGTAGTAGTCAGGAAGGAAGTACCAATTTTGACACATAAAAAAGAATACAAGGGGGAGAAGCCCGGCGCCGTCTATTGCACAAGATTTGTGGGAAGGCTAAATGTATGTATGGGTATCCCCTCTTGACATTCAACTCTGCTTTGAGCAAATTTAATGGATTTACTTTTCATTAACACTATTGTATGCAGGGAAGGCTGCGTGTTAGCGGTGATCACTCACCAACAAAAAAAGCTTGTCGGAATGTAATGCAGTCTGTGGTATGGCAGGAACGCTATAGGTTGAAGAGAACATACTTCAATGGTGTCCTTGCTAATCAGATCCGTATGACCTCTCATGAATGAAGTACAGTGGTGTTAACTTGTCAAGATTTGGTCTAGTGCTAAGAACAAGGTGTTTGAACCTATTGATTTTCTGTCTAGTCTTGTTATGGTCTACTTGTGTTGTAGTCTAACACAAATGAAGCTATAGCAAATATTTGAGAAGAACAAGCGAAAATCGTGAAAAAGTGAAGTACCATCAGGCTGCAGGATCTTGCTCCTATGTTGTTCAAATGCAAAAATTTGTAAGTAATGGTTGTGTTTTATTATTACTCTTGCCTTTGTATAAATATAAATCGAAACTCATGTGCAATGTGAACAGAAGGAGAATAAGAGGAATGCAACAGAACAACATCAAGGACTTGAAGAAGAAAATGATCCACCTAATGAAGATGTTAATGTTGTGGAAGTCTTCAGGGACTTTCATACCAGTAGGAAAAATGGTCTGAGCGATGCTGCAAGAGCAGCAGTTGTAAATACATTCTTTTACTTCCCTTGAAATCTACTGAAGCTATTGCCATAAAAGAAGGAAACGTAGCAGGAGCCTAGTGTTATGGAAATCTACTGAAATCTATTAAAGCTTATGTAATCTCTATCGGCAGTAGGCTGAGGAAGACCTATGCATTACTTGTTATGAATCAATCTCTTGGGTTTTCAATTGAAGTCCTTTTACACTATCTGTAACCTAATGTTTTACTGATTGAATTTCATAGGAAGCTATGGAAACTATATAAGCAGAACCTGTTGCTGATGGGTAGCAACCAATTACTAGTGCTGATGTTGTTTGCAAGGTCCTCTGCGTCCGCCAGGGCAAGGCCCCCTCCCAAAGAAGCGACAATAACCTTTTTTAAAAAATGCTGGTATCCAGACAAGCTCCACCAGAACAGAGACATCAACGTAGAGAATGCTTCGAGAACAACTTGCTGCTGAACAAGAAAGTTCCGCTGCCCTCGTCGATCAAGTGGTTGAACTGAAGAGGAAGACAGAAAAGACTGAAAGAGAGCTTGAGGAATACAAGAAATGGCAATAGAAGGAGTACAACAATTTCCGTGAGCTATGCACGCGTTTTAGCTCTTCTGGTAATTCTCAGTCTTCAACTCCTGTGGCTTGATGCAGTGAAAATTTGTTGTTTGATGTGTGGACTCATGTGCCAGTTTGATGTGTGGACTCATATGCCGGTTTAATGTGGTGATACTCTGTTAGTGGTTCGTTGCTGACGTTGAAATGTAAATTGTTGTTATTTGATTGCCAGGCTAAATAGTTATGTAGTCAGTCTGTGTAGTAGAGATGATCTCCAATTATTTCTATGATGAATTGATTATACTCCACACAGTAGAATCAGGACATGCCATGTGATCAAATAAAAATATAACACATTAGGATGAACTAGTGCACGACACGTGAATTGGCCAGGGCACGACACGTGGGTTATTAAAAATCTGACACGTGGAAGGAAAGCGTCAAGCCACATGGATGTATAAAAATACGACACATGGACAGACAGCATAGCGACACGTGGTCAAATAAGAAACGAAGATGTGGTCCAACAAAAATACGATATGTGGTCCAATGAAGAAGTGACACGTAATCCAACGGCAACCCGCCACGTGTGCTAGTAGAAAACTGACCTGTGGAACAATAGGAAAATGACACGTGGTCCAATAAGAGCCTAAAACGTGCAAGAACCAGAGATGCCGCAATAAGAAGATGACATGTACCCGAACTATCTCTAATGCAACCGGCTGTAGCATGTACACGTGGGCTATAGCATGTACAACGGAAGCGCCCACCACACACATGCCAAAACAGTTCTATGACGATCTGTTTTTCGTCACAGAGTAAGACACTTCTATGACGATTTTGCCAGATTCGTCATAGATATGCAAGACTGGCGCGACTTCTATAACGAACCGATTTTCGTCGTAAATTCGTAATAAAACTAAAATTATGACGAACTTAGCTCCTTCAGTGACAAAATCTATTCGTCATAGAAGCGGATATTCATAGTAGTGCTCGTCGGAGAGTCGCTGCCGAGGTTGTGGAGGATGTGGCGGAGCTCGTCGCAGGAGATGAAGCCGTTCTAGTCCTGGTCGAAGACGCGGAAGGCCTCCCGGAGCTCGTCCTCGGCGGCGGCGGCAGTCACACGCACGCAGTTGGCTCAGCGCACCGGCGGCTGGATCTGTGCACCAGCGGTGGTGCCGCGCGCGCGCTCTGCTCGTAGACAGATAGGGAGGGGGCACGCGGAGTGAAGGTGACGGATGCGGCAACGGCGGTGGCTGTAGCCTAGGACCCAATCTGGGAAGAGGGAGGCTTCATTTGGACCAAGGCACTATCAGCGGTGCAAGGCAGCGGCGACTGTGCCGTACGGACGAAAGGAACGCGAGGAAGGAGACAGCTACGGGAAAGGAGGTGGGTGAGATACGGGGACTCGGGAGGTGACTCCACCGAGCGCACGATGGCTTCAGCGAGCCGGGCCAAAAAGAAACGACCCTTTTTTCCGTTTCCAGGGAGCCAGGAGAGAGTAGATTTTGTATCGCGGAGGCGTGGCTCGCGAGTGAGCCCAAGACATCAAACAAGGGCGTTGTAACCTAGGCCCACGGGCCACCCTATCAAACAGCCCCCCTTCGTTCCTTGCAGCTGCAGCTGCAGCTGGGGCTGGGAGAAACGCCAGGAGGACGGACACCTGCATGCAGCAGGCGTATGATTGTGCTTCTGAAAACAGCAACATGCACTCACCACCGGCACCGCGCCGCCCGCGAGGCCCGCAACAAAAACACAACGAAACTGGTCAAACCGGCGGGCGTGTGCGAGCGAGTTCGGACGCTGCTGCGGCCTGCGGTGCGGGTGCGGCCAACGGCCATGCGCCCATGCCATGCGGGGGTGTTTTTTTTGAACGTACCGCACGCCGCGGGGAGGACGACACGACAGGCGTGGCCGCGTGGGAATTATGGCCGTAATAACTCGGCACCTACGCGGAGGCCGGAGGCAAAGGGAACCACGGCGCTGCTCACTCCCTGTGCATGCAGAGCTCTACCCAGTACCCCCGGCGGCCGCTGTACGGGTACAGGGAGAAGACTAGTGTGGTGAGGATCACGTGGAGCGGGCAGGAGGACGACGACGGAGTGGAGACCCGGTTTGACGCGGCCCGGCCGCGGGTGCCTCTGCTCGGCCGCGGGACGGTGGGAGAATATTTTACTGCTCGGCCGCGGGGGAGCCGTGGGATGTGCGTGGCACGGTGGCAGTGGCAGCCGGCCAGCCGCTGCGTGCGTGAGTCACCGCGGAGTCATCAGTGCCCTGCCGTTGGTGCGCTGCCTCGTGCCTGCGCCTGCGCCTCCCCACCCACGGGGCACCGCACCGTCTGCTTCAAATCGCGCGTCGCCACGACCACCACGAGGGCACCCTCGGCAGCTCTCACTCCTCACACTAGCTCCTCTGCAGCTCACTCGCGTTCGGGCGTCCCACGAAAAGCGGAGAGACAGAGAGAGGGAGAGAGAGGAGGGAGAAGCGGCAAACGTACTACAGCTCCTGAGATGGCGGCGCCGGCGCCGAAGCAAGAGGAGCTGCAGCCGCACGCCGTCAGGGACCAGCTGCCCTCCGTCTCCTACTGCCTCACCAGCCCGCCCCCATGGCGTACGCCCTTCCTTCCTTCCTTCCCCCCGTTACCTCCCATCTCCTCCTCCGCCCCGTCTGTCCTCGCCGCCGCCGCCGCCGCTGCCTGCGCGCGTTGCTTCCTGGATCTCTCTCTCGGGCTCGCGACTGACGCCGTCTCCCTTGTTTTCAATGCAGCGGAGGCCGTCCTCCTCGGCTTCCAGCACTACCTCGTCATGCTCGGCACCACCGTCATCATCCCCACCGCGCTCGTCCCCCAGATGGGCGGCGGCAATGTACGTCCCCCCCGAGACCCCGACTCTCTCCTCTCTCTTCTCTCTTCTCTCTTCTCTCTTCTCTCTTTTCTCTTCTCTGTGTGTGTGTCCGCCGCCGCCCGCCAGAGCCTGACACGAAAGCTCGCCGCTTTCAATCTTTTTTCTCGCACAGGAGGAGAAGGCGCGGGTGGTGCAGACGCTGCTGTTCGTGGCCGGGATCAACACGCTGATCCAGAGCTTCCTCGGCACGCGCCTCCCCGCCGTCATGGGGGCCTCCTACACCTTCGTCGCGCCCACCATCTCCATCATCCTCGCCGGCCGCTACAGCGGCATTGCCGATCCCCACGAGGTGCGCCTCCTCGCCTTCCTGTCCTGCCCGGTTCCAAGTCCAACGGAGGCTGCCTGGCTTACCGATAGCACGGATTAATCTCTTTGCTGCAGAAATTCGTGCGCATCATGCGGGGCACGCAAGGCGCGCTCATAGTGGCCTCCACCCTCCAAATCATCATGGGCTTCAGTGGCCTTTGGCGCATTGTCGTCAGGTTCGTCTCCTGCTCTCGCCGCCCCCCTCGTGTGTTCAGGTCCCAGTGTACCTCCTCTGATCCCATCTGTCTGTGCTTACTCCTGTTGCAGGCTGCTGAGCCCGCTGTCTGCTGCTCCCTTGGTTGCCCTCGTCGGATTCGGGCTCTATGAACTGGGGTTTCCAAGTGTATGTCTCTCTACATGTAGTACTACATTTTCCCTATATTATACCTGCATGATGTATTTAGCAACAGTGAGATAGTAACATGAATTTATTTTACCCTGCAGGTTGCCAAATGTGTAGAGATTGGTCTTCCACAGATTTTACTGCTTGTGGCACTTTCTCAGGTAGTAGGATGCATCAGGAATTCCTGTTGTGTGATTTTAACCAAAACGGTTGCTGGATCCTTGAGAACAATGTACAATTTCTGTTTCTCTTTTGCAGTACATACCACATCTGGTCCCCTTGCTGAGTACTGCCTTTGAGCGGTTTGCTGTCATAATGTCCATTGCCCTCATCTGGCTTTATGCCTTCTTCCTGACGGTTGGCGGTGCCTATAAGAATGCTGCTCCCAAAACCCAATTCCACTGCCGCACTGATCGATCTGGGCTTGTTGGGGGCGCTCCATGGTAAATATAATCCATCCTTCTGCATGTTCTTTCCCAACCTAAGAGGCAGAGCTTTGTATGTTTTGTGTACTTATTCAGAATGTAACATCCTGCAAAAAGCTCCATGGCTACTAGATTGATAGATTATTGATCTACAATTTGCAGGATAAGTGTACCTTATCCATTTCAGTGGGGAGCACCAACCTTTGATGCTGGTGAAGCTTTTGCTATGATGGCAGCTTCTTTTGTTGCTCTTGTGGAGGTATGTTATTTGGACAAACCCATGATATGTTAGCAGCTTTGTTATCCTAGATGGGACTGCATATCATCTTCAAGCTAATACTCCTTACTGCATGATGCAGTCCACTGGTGCATTCATTGCCATTTCACGGTATGCCAGTGCAACACCATGCCCTCCTTCCGTCATGAGTCGTGGCATTGGGTGGCAGGTATCGTCCAAATTCCTTTATTTGCAGTTAGTGTATCTGAAATTTTGAATGACATCTGAGCATGACTTACCCAACTAATTTATCTATGTGCCATTCCAGGGAGTTGGCATTTTGCTGGGTGGCTTATTTGGAACAGCTAATGGAACCTCTGTATCTGTGTAAGCAGATTCTAGATGGCTGCTGCAACTACTTTTTATAGTGTGATCATGTGATCTGAATACTATTCAACATTTGTCTGATTTTGAATATTGCTATGGAACAGCGAAAATGCTGGGCTGCTCGGTTTGACACGCGTTGGTAGTAGACGTGTTGTGCAGATTTCTGCTGGATTTATGATATTCTTCTCGATCCTTGGTACGGCTCATGCTTTTATGTGATCATGTATTCAACAGCTTTTGGCTGTAATACTTTGTGTTAAGTAGTTAAGGTTAACTTTAAGACTGGCTTGTTTAAGCTTGTTATCTGGACAGATACAATTGAACAATTCATACTATGCTCCTGCACTTCTAATGATAATCAACTGTCTGTGATGGTAATGTTTTGTGATGCCTTTATAGGGAAATTTGGAGCTGTTTTGCATCAATTCCTGGCCCAATAATCGCAGCTATATATTGTCTTCTCTTCGCATATGTTGGTACGTAGCACGAAGCAAATTTTAAAGTTTGCATCTTTTTAATATAGAATTGTTGAATTATTATGAAATGGCTATGTGTTCTCCTGTACAAACAGGTATGGCAGGTGTTGGGTTCCTACAGTTCTGCAACCTGAATAGCTTCCAAACAAAATTCATCCTGGGATTCTCTTTGTTTATGGGTTTGTCCGTGCCACAATATTTCAATGAATACACTTCCGTCGCAGGCTTCGGTCCAGTACACACGCATGCAAGATGGGTAAGATCCAGTTCGAAACACATTTTGGTCTTTATACGATAAGAGCAATATGGTTTAATGTTTATAGACATCATGGTTCTGGCTCTACCTGCTACTTTGCACAGTGGAATTTGATATTGTTGCATTTGCATTGCATCGGTTTAAAGTTTATAGACATGGTTGTGACATTGTTTTCTGGTGTTATGTGCTTCTGAAATCACCTTCTAGTTCGTTTTACTGCTCATTTGGCACGCTGAAGAGCTGCAAACTAAGAGATGCTTTTCCTTGTGCTCATGTCCAGTTCAATGATATGATCAACGTGGTATTCTCCTCCAAGGCGTTTGTTGCCGGGGCTGTGGCGTATTTTCTGGACAACACCCTGCACAGGCGAGACGGCACCGTGAGGAAGGACCGGGGGCACCATTTCTGGGACAGGTTCAGGTCCTTCAAGACTGACCCGCGCAGCGAGGAGTTCTACTCCCTCCCATTCAACCTCAACAAGTTCTTCCCATCCTTCTGATCCTGCTGCTGGTAACTGAAAACGGAGAATGATGTTCGGTTAGGTTGTTGTGAATTGTGATTCTGGCAATGCCACGCCCAAGCGGCTATTTCTCCTACTTCTGTTGTACCACCCCGTGAGTTCTGAATCTTGTAGAGCTCGATGTAAACTAATCAGAAGGAGTGGAGAAAATGCTTGGTTTTTTTTTTATGTAAATTGGGTTTGGTTCTCGGATAGATCGATAGAATGAAAAGAGAACTGCTCCAGTAGTCCTCTTTCTGTAGATTAAGCTCAGTGCTATTTCAGAGTAAACTAATGCAAGTGCATGTGCAATCGTTGCAGATTTGCAGTGAGATACTGATACTGAGCATTTGCTATTAATTTCCAGAATCAGAAGAAATCGAGTGTGTCCGGTAAAGGACGATGGACTGCCAGCTCACAGTTCTTTAGGCCGGCACTGTCACATCATAATTTCTATATAACTGGTGTTTTGTCTTGCATCATCCTACGGGTTAGCAGTCGCAAATTGCACATCTTATTGATTCAATTTGTACTAGGCATGTACAAATTGATTTTGCACCTCCATTCATGATGATGTATGTAAAAAAATTGCTGTGTGCGTAGTACAAAATTTAACTCAAAATTTACCTCGAAGACTACTGGATCCAACTTCTGTTATGCAGTCTGTTTGCTTGGTCGTATTTGACTTATAAGCCATGGCTTATCAGTCAACGAACAATATTTTTCTCTCACACCAAACCAGACAACAGTACTTTCAGTCATGGCTTATAAGCCAAATCAGCCCAAACAAACAGGGCGATGATATTTTCTACCTGTTGCTGACTTGCAATAAAATCTTTTAAACACATAATAGCTATCCATGCAACAAATCTAGTGGTGGTGGAGCCGAGCATGGGGAGAAGGTGGTGGAGAAGGGATGGGCATAAATCTATTAACCAAAATTCAAAAAAAAACATCAATGATCAAACGGGCCACAGCTGAATGCGAAAATTGTGGCCATCCACCATACTCTTCCTACTCCGAGAGTGGTCTGAACCAAACAGGCCGATAGCCCTCTATCTCGGCCTTCTAGGCCCATATGATAGTCGCCTTCAAGGTTCAAGTTGGTGGACCTTGGAGTCAACCGGCCCAACCCTCTCAGTCTCAGATCGCACGCCCCAGGCAGTCCTCGCCTAGGTTTAGGCTTCCGGCGGCCGCAGCCTCCAATCCACGCCACGAGCGAAAGGAGATCGCCGGAAGAGGGGCGCGGAGATGAGCGGGAGCGCGTTCAATGTGTTCAAGTCGCGGGTGCCGGTGGCGTGGAGTCCCCGGCTGTACATCACGCTGGTGCGGGGCCTCCCCGGGACGCGGCGCCTCCACCGCCGCACGCTCGAGGCCATGCGCCTCCGCCGCTGCCACCGCACCGTCGAGCACCGCACCACGCCGTCGCTCCTCGGGATGCTCACCCAGGTGAAGCGCCTCGTCGCCGTCGAGACCGAGGAGATGTACAACGCGCGGAAGCAGGCCGAGGCGGAGAGGCGCGCGCTCAGACCCCCGCTCGTCGTCTCCCACCGCCCGCCGCCGCCGACTCCGAAGCCGGCAGCAGCAGCCGCGGAGGGTGCCGCTGCCAATGCGCAGTAGCCTCTGGTAAGCTCCTCGAGTCCCGATCGTCCTGGTGTGGTCTGGTTTTCCATTTTGCCTGTTTGCCCTTCAAGCGTTTGATGCAATGCCTCAAGTCAGTATAAAATTCAGATGCTTATTTCTGATCCAACATTCTTACACAATGAAATGGCTTAGTTTTGCTTATAATGAAGAAGCGAGTGAAGATTTTGCGGTTATTGCATTTCTGTGTTGAGTGCTTTATACCAGACATAGGTCCAATGTTTTCTGCTACTTCTTTACCTGGTAGATCATTATAACTCGTTACTTAGTTCTCCATGTAACGAAATGGAGGGCGCAGCTCTAACCACATTACGGTGGATAGCTCTTAAAAGTGTTTGAAAATCAGAGTATTCAGCTAGTTTACTAGTTTAAACAGAAGTAAAAGCGGGATTAAATGAGCAGTGCAAACCTATCTCGTTATTAATGGTTAATAACACTGATTATGTTTTTATTTTTCACTTAGCAGGAACAATTAAAATGACCAAGATCTTTCTAGGTGTTTGTGGTTAACACTGACAAAATAGCATCTAAGGAAAGGGCGTCATTGTGATTAAAATTAAGTTAAAAACTATACAATTAGCCTGACCTATCAATTCTTGTTAACCTGAACAGCTAACTGGCTGTTTCGACTACCACATAAATACAAATTGATGTCAAGTTCTTAGCTGAAGAAATAAGATAACAGTACAAAACACATTAATCATTAGTGACAAGCATGGTTATGAAGGTGTAAGGCAAGGTGGGGTGACCCGCCCCCTTCCAGACACCTAGGCCTGCGGTGACGCGACACCACACATACATTCCAACCTACAGTGGAGCAGCAATGCAGCATAAACATACCTTGTTGCTGTAGCTGACACAGAGACATATATCACAATCTGTAAACTCTAATCAATGCAAAGATGAATAAACTAACTAAAGGCAGTAAAGCACAGCCACACATTTACACATAGCAGTGAAACACTATGGATCTATGGATATACAGCAGCAGACTTGCAGAGCACAAAACACAAGTGCTGGGCACCTAGCACTAGCAGTCTAGTACAAGCAGGCAGAGCAGTTCACAACTTCGCATCCAGGCACAAGCAGGTGCATTACAGCAGAGCAGGCACAAGCTGGAGGAGCAATGCACGTCCAAGCAACAACCATAAGAGGAGGGAGGCGGGTGGGAGAGAGAGAGATACCTGTGTGCCACGGCCCGTGAGCTTGTGACAACAGGCTGATAGGGATGGGAATTGGCAGAGCAGAGGAAGGATGCGTGAATCAGAGGTGCAAACTGGTCGAGAAGAGGAACGAGGCATGAACCGAAAGGTGTCAATTAGTGAAGAGGATGCCAGGATGGAGGCACGAATTAAAGGCACAAATCGGTAGAGAAGAGGGAGGAATGAGTCAAAGGAGGGCCAAGGGAGGCATGAATTGATGGACCAAAAGGAGCCGTAGCAGCTGGATTCCGGCTAGGTGTGCTCCCTTCCCCCTGCTATGTCCATTGGCATGCAGGACATAGGGGAGAAGGACTACGGGGGTTGCAGTCGTGCGATTTCCTGCCAGTGCAACTCCAGTTGATCTCCCCAGCGCGCGAAACTCCCATGCCCCACTGCATCGTCCCCTTTCAATTCATGTGTGGTGTCCGCCTCAGGTTGCTGGGTGCAAAAAGCCAAAAACGTCGCCACATTGTGCCTAGGCGAGGACTTTTGCTGTAAGACAGAATGACGGATGCCATATGATGAGTGGTTGTGGTGAGGCCGATGCCCAGACTGAAATCACGACTGAACGCCTAGGCGCCGACTTAAAATCCATGGTGATAGGTTGCATTGTGGGTTGAGCTGGCCCTTCTGAAGCAGGAACAGTGCATGGAAACAAACATAAAGTATTTATATCCTATTTTGCTTCAAAAGTTCTTTGTTGGATGAGCTATGCTGCACATGGTCACATATCACGCTGGATTTTGTAGAAAATGGATGAGGGTGATCAACCTTGATGCTATGCCATATGACGTTAATGTACCCAGGGTAGACCAATTAATCTAGTCCTGAAATTCTCTCGGTTGTGCGTGTGATTTGCTATATCCAAGAAGCAGATATTCTGTTTAGATAAAAAATTATATAATGTAGATATATCAATTATTATTTCAAATTGTTTCTATACTAGCGAAAACTTGGCACCCTGCCTTGTGAGTACTCATCCAGGCTGGTCAATCCAGCCCCAGGTCCTCAGATTTGAATGCCTAAGAGCGCTGCCTGACCTCAACAATTTCCCAGGTCCTCGGATTTGAATCATGCTTTGAACTTTTAATTGATATTAGGAGGAAAATTTCTACAGTGTTTTAACATGTTCCATTAACACAGATATAGAATAATTTACCATTTCTATGCCATTGCCCATTGCTTTTCAAAATTGAACACCTGAAATGAACGCCATCACTGTCAGCTTAGCTGTCAAGTAAAGTGACACATGAAAAGACAACAGCTTTTTTCAAGCGATGGTAAAATGATGGGGATTGCATAGAGGGCATCATTCTTGTAACTAATTATGTATAGGGTAGCATGAGTTATTTTGTGATCTGGTTATGTTATTCGGCCCCTAATATTTGAGGGGATCAGTTTGACTGATGGTATAATGGGAACCCTGAGTTATTGTTACTCAGTCCCTAATATTTTTCTCGTGGTTGTCTTGTAGGGCATCAGAAGCCTTTCATCAGAGTTCAGCAGCATAATAATTAACTTGCATGTGTTTGGGTCTGCTGGTCTCCAGACGATCGCATTGGATCTTCTTGCTCAACAAGATCTAGCAACCGATATGATCTCAAGATCATTGTATGCTCTGACTTGCATTGGTCCTGTATTTTATATTGTTATATGGACTGAGGGAATGGTTTTCTAATGCTTTTGTCTAAAATAAAGTTCAGTGATTTGGTTTCATTACTAAATTTCCAGAAAATGTTCTTTAAGATGTGCAGGCTTCTTGTGTAATTGAACCAGAGGCTGCTAGCGTCTAAATCTGCTCAGTTATGGTTGTTGTCCAATGGCCATTAGCAAAAGGTTTTATAACATTGCTTGGGTTCTTGGAGTGAAAACATATTGATTGTAGTCTTGACGGAGTCGGTGCCCTGATCTGCGCCCACGGAACAAAGGAAATCAGGATATGGGAAATAATTAAGAAAAAAATTATTTGGTTGGGCTGCTTCAAGAATCAAGATCCATGCAATATTTAGAAAGAGGAACAAATCAAGATCCATGCAATATTTAGGCCCCCTTTGAAACGCGGGAATTCCATAGGAATTTTACAGCATTCAGTTCGTTTTTCGCAAGAAAAACACAGGAACGGGAAAAAGGGGCCCTTAGGAAGAGGAATGAATAAAGGGCAGACCTAGTGTCGGAGGCTCCCACAAGAGTGGGGTGTGAGGAAAGAAAAAACCGAGGCAAGCCTTCTCCCCGCAAAATCTATGGAGAGGCTACTTCGAACCCACAACCTGGTTGAGACAGTGCTCACCACTGCACCAGGCCTTAGGAAGAAGAATGAATCCATGCGATATTTAGAAAGAGGAATGTTGGAGCACTTCTCGTCTTTCTCATAGATTATGAACCTCCTGCATAGGTAAAAGAGAGAATTCCTTATTTGACACTAGACAAATGAATGTTCCTTACTTGGTCCTCAAAAAAATTTCGTTCTCTATTTGACACCGAGTTTAACTTTCATTCCTTACATGGCACTCCGTTGCATTTTCCATCCGGCCACCGTTAACTGCGCTGTGAAAAGCCATTTTTGCCCCTGTGGGCCCCACGACCCTTCTCCCTCCTCTCCTCCTCCAGGCCGCCGCCCCTCCCCACTCTCGCTCAGCCCCCATCTCTCTTCACTCCCTCTCCCACAGGGACTCCATCTCTCTCACTCTCTCTCTTCCTCAGCGGACCTGGCGGCCACATCGCGGGCCCCTCCCGGCGACGCGAGGGCGGTCACCAGCATGGCCTTTTTCCCGGCCTGACGTGGCGGCAGGCGTGGGCTGGCGCAGCCTCGCATGAGCACGCAGGCCTTCTGGCGTGGCCTCGCCAGCACGCGACCAGTTCGGTTCCCTCTCCCACGCTCAGATCCAGCGGCCATCTTCCCTCTCCCTCGTCCTCCATCCCTCACTTCCCGTGCTCAGATCTGCTCCGGTGAAGGCAGGCGGCCGCGCCCTGAGGGTGGATCCAGGGCCTCCGCGCGAGCAGATCCAGCGCGGTGGCGGTGGCCGTCGAGCCCGCGACAGCTCCGATGGGCGGAGGTGTGCGGCCTCTCGGTCCTCCGAAAGACACGGCCTTCCTGCCTCTCTCTCTCCTCCCACGAGCAGCGCCACAGTACCGCTCCTCTTCGTCCGGGCTTGCGGGGGGAGGTGGTGGCGTGGCTCGCGTCGGAGGAGGAGGGGGAACTCCGCCGCAGCCGGAGGGGACGACCATGCCTTCTCCTCGGTGTGGCGCCGGGCTAGGGAGGAGGACGGCGGCTGGAGGAGGAGAGAGGGTGGTGGGCCCACAGGGGCAAAATCGTCTTTTCATAGCACAGATCACGGTGGCCGGATGGAAAATGTAATGGAATGTCACGTAAGGAATGAAAGTTGAACTCGATGTCAAATAGGGAACGAAAATTTTTTGAGGGCAAAAAAAAAGAACGGGTCATTTGTCTGGTGTCAAATAAGGAATTCTCTCCAGACAAAATTACCTTTCTTCAGTGGACTCAACTAGTTTACATTCTGAATATACGAGGATGGTATGAACTCTTTATGCTGAATGTATTGCAGGATATGGAGGCGCTGCCAAATTGCCAATGCAGTGATACAATTTGCAGTTTTTAAGATGATTTCTCAAGGTTATTCATGTCGGCCTTCAGGGCAATCATACTAATTTTCTGCAGGTTATTCATGTTGGGCTTCAGGGCAATCTCCAAAAATAATGCAATTTTAGAACAGAAACATGTTAATATATGTTAAGATTGATTAAATTTATATAAAAATT